GCTAATCCCATAGCTTTAATCTTTTAGGTCTTTGTACCAGAACAAGTATTCAGATAAGGAGTTCTGACTTTTCTCTGACTTACTGTATATGATTAGTTGTTCAGGGTTATTTAGACGTTATCAGCATAACAGCCAGGCAATTAATATTTTCATAATATGGTCCTTAATGGCAGACCCATATTTCTGTCATTGCAGGTTCATTTTAAAGTAAATATAACAAACATTAAAAAAATAACATTTCTATGAAAATGTAAGAAATAGATATGCTATTTTGGTGAAATAATTTAGCTGTGCAATTAATGGTTAGCCTTTGTCAAATTTTAGTCAAATTAGCCTAAAATTTTGAACTGCGGACTGCTCAGGAAAACAATTTTGGGAAAGCAACTTTTAAGAAAACCTTTCCATGTTGTTTTTTTACCTTTTTTGTGTGAATGCAATTATTTAATTTAAAAAATCATATAACAATACATAATAAAGAAACAAAATACAATTACTGTATATTCTTGTATACTGTTCCTTTAAATTTTATATGTTCTTGTTTCTTCAACGTTTACTTTTGTTTAAAAAAAAAAAAAAATCGAACAAAAATGATAATACACAAAAGTACATGTTATTGCAGAAGGAGACTCTATAACCCGCTCGGCAATGCATTTCAACAAATAGCGACATTTTTCTGAAATATCGCCAACATTTAGACAAAGAGAAAGTCAATCCCTGTAAGAAATGTTAATCAAAAGTTGAGGTTAAGTGTGTGTGGCCAGAATTACAATCTACTTAGATCTATTGAAATAAATTCTGACTTAACCAATCACTGTTTTATACACAGTGATTTATACACAGTAGATATATAAGTGAATAGCCGAACAGTGTTCGGCTCACTTCACTTCTGATCGGTCATTCACTCGGCTGCCCTCGGCAGCTTTGTGAATAGACCCCTTCATTTTAAGGTTGTAGGTTGATTAAATCTCATGCTAGCTCACACACCTTTAAATGTTTGTACCATTCTGTTTTTTTCTGATCAACACTTACAGGGTTATTAACAAAAGGGTGAAGAGTTTGGAGACGGCAGGAGGAGTGAACAATCTAGGACTGGAACATGAGCTGAATTGGATAATTTTTCCAAATCAGCTATTTTGGCCTAGATTGTTTATTTCTCCTGCCTTCTCCCAACTCTTCACCCTTTTGTGAATAACCCTATAAGAGTACATTGTACAATCAGATTGTAACATGTGCCACCAACTATAAGTGTAATCCATTTTTTTCCAAAATGAATCTAAAAGCATGACTTCTATTTAACTGAATATAGTTTCCTCTGTTTTAGTTTTGGGTAGAATGTGAAACAGTTAGAACCCCTTTCAGTTTTTTTTTACTTCTATCTGTGCCCCGCAGGGGAGATTAACCTTCACTTTTTGGTCTTGGTGACCCTTTTCTCCAGTACAGAAAGTGATGGGAAATCAATTTTTCAGTTGTCACGTGAACTGGAGGAGAGCAATAAATGTCCATTCAGGAAACCTTTTCTGGTGACATACATAGTATTTGAGGTTGAATAAAGACACTGGTCCATCAAGTTTCATCTGTCTAAGAGGAGATATTCTCTCACTTTGGAGAGATCTCCTTATACTTCTTGTTGTGTCTCTGGGACAAGAAGTGAAGGTAAATCTCCCTGACGGAACCAAATAGACAGCTGTCCTAACTAATATTTATTCACTGCTCTATATAAAATAAAAAGCAAAGTTTTGGCTTTACGTACTCTTTAACCTCCTGCCGTCCACCCGTTGAGAAATAACGGACAACGGCAGACTCACATTTGCGGGTTGCCGTCTCCAGACGGCTTTTTTTTCCTGCTAGGGCAGAAAAAACCCGCCCGTTCTTTACAGTCGTTACCGGCTGTTTCACATACACACTCTATAGCCTGCCAATCGTATGTATGTGCTGTCTTTGTGCCCCCTTCAAGTGCCGCTGCTACCGCCCCCCGACTGACCCCTCGCCTTCAATCCCGGGATCCGCTAGCCCATCTGCGGCCAGGGACCGGCTTGGGAGGGCGTCAGGAGGTAAGATGGGAGGGAGATCAGCATCTTCCTCCTTGCTGATCTGCCTCCGAGGTCTGAATGCAGAAGTGATGTATATTACATCACTTCAGCATTCACCTGTCAGTCACCTAGCTGCTATTGCCAGAAAGAAGAAGCTGATGAAGCAGATCTCTGCACATATAAATGTAAATAGGCGTTCGGAGTGAGAGCAATCATTCTAGGGCCATCAATCACTGATAACACTAAACAGATGAGCCGTAAAAGCTTTTAAAGTGTCGCCTACGGCCAATTTTTGGTGTCTATTTACCCAACGTGACCCCGCCTCTTATATTTTAGCAAAACATTGGGTAATAATAAATGTTTTATCATTTAATATAGGGGAAACTGTTTTTTTTTTATTTTCAGTAATCTTTCCTTAATATAGAAAAAAATAAAAACCCCAGTGGTGATTAAATACCACCAAAAGAAAGCTCTATGTGTCCCTAAAAAATAGTATACAATTAATTTCAGTACAGCGTTGCATGACGGAATAAATGTCAGTCAAAGTACTGCAGCGCTGAATACTGAAAAATGGCCTGGACAGGAAGGGCGTGTAACACCGCGGACTTCAAGTGGTTAAATGAGATTTCCCTGCTTTTGACTCTGATGCCATTTGCACACAACCCCTTACTCAGTCTTCATTATGATCACATTCCTCACTTGTCAGCTGCTTTTTCTTCATACTGTAGAAAACCCGGTAAAAACAGCCTATCTTGGCTTTATAGCCATGATAGCATGGAGACACACAGGACAAGCGTAGCTTCTAAACATGATATTGTAAAATTCTGGTAAAACCTTAATCAGTGGAGGAAACAAGGTCATTGCATATCTGCTCTACCCTCCTCCTTCACAGCATTTGTTAAATTATGAATTCTGACTGGTTGATAGGGGTTACTGCGCTTTGCTCTTTGCCTTATTAAATAAGACTGTGTATGTATGGAATTTGTTTTCTGCATAACTGAACACAGCCTCAGATATGCACTTAATTGTAGCTGAAATCTGAAGAATGTTCATGATTAGGCCTAATTAGAAAAGGACAAGTAACCTGCTGGGATTTTTAATAAAGTAAATATACCAATAAGGTTTTCATAATGCAATGGCAAAACAATAGTACAGCATAATCGCCGGTAATTAATGACCATGAACAGAGACAGAGAAAAATAGGCTGAAGTAATTAGGAGTCACATTTTCTGACAATCAAGTTATACAGAAGTTTCAGTAAAACATTTTACTGTGTTGGTATAGTAAAATAATATAGATGTAAAGAAAAACATTTACATGAATATTTGAAATATAAAAACAACAATGTTGTACTATAGAGGCCCAAACTAGAGTTCACAAACTGCTGATCGCTTAGCTCACAGCTTCCCCCTGCAGAGAGCAGTGACTGCCAGTCACTGTTCCCTGCAGGGATTCCCCCCTCCCCTCTCTGTTTCTCCAGTGCTCATTGGAGGGACAGACAGGGGAGGGGGCACAGTTGGCTCAAACTTCAGAGAGGGAGAGTCAGCTGTCAATCAAGCAGCAGGGTAGATAGCGACAATATTGTCAGGTACATGTAGTCCTGTGACCCAAAAGAGAATTATAGCCAAAGAAAAAAGGTTTGGCTATAGTTCTCTTTTAAAGGAAAACTCAATTATTGTTAAAATGAATGTGAACTCATTACTAATTATTAATACATTTACGACTTTTAACTGTCTTTATCATCTACAATCTACTGCAGTGGGCAGTTGCAGAAAGGGCTTCTGGGACTTGAAATCCCAGACCAGGTAATAACATTACGTCAAGCAATCCCTGAGACCTCTCTGCAGACTACATTACAGTAGGGTACTACAACCTCATCCATGGCCCACCCACAATGTGATTGGAAAATGGTTCTTGCCTCAAAAGGGGTCTCATTGTTGCATGGACTGTACTGTGCAGCGCAGTAGAGCCAAGTGCCATTTGTTTATATTCTGCACTTGTGCACAGCAAACTGAATGTTATATTTTGTGACATAAAGGCTGGATGCTACTTTTAACAAGAATTCAAAGCCCTCTTCTGTCATAAATAATGGGTTTATGATTTCATGCCTCAGGTTGCATTTCAATTTACTCTTCTATTCCATCACTATCCTGTCTACAACTTGGTCACTGAGCAGTGCTTTTGATTGGAGCGCTGAACAGGGAGTGTGGCAGACCCTGTGTTGAGCAGTGGTCCAACTGTCTATTGAGCTGCTAACACAGGGTAATTCAACTCTTGCTGTAGCAAATAGGACTACAAAGTGCACCTGCACTCAAAACGTACAAAACAGGAACTCCATAAAGCAATGATGAAAAGCAATATTATTTTTTGCTTCATACATAAATAGTGAATTATTAATTTAATGAATCAAATCAAAATTATGGTCAAACAGTCAGATTTCAATAGGTATGGCTAACCTTGGTGATCCTATTGACAGCAGCTTGTGACTGGAGGAATAAGAGATGGGGTTCACAGATTAATCAGACTACATTTTGCATAATAGCTAAATGGGCGATGAATATTTGGGAATAGCATCATGTCCCAGAAAAGTTTCATATACATCCATAGACTAAAACCTTTTAAGTACATTATTTTTGTTCTACACAGTTAAATAGCTTTTCACCTTACATCTATATTGCTGAGTATTGTGTCTTGACTGCTGCTTTCTTTAAACTTATAACAAAACAAATATAAAACAAAGTTCTTTATTTCAGCAAACTACCATTTTAAGTGATATTCCACTCTTAAAAAGTTTCTCTGGGGATCCTGAAAGATCATTTTGAATTAAAGACTATTTGCAACATTAGCAATTGGATTTTTGTTACTTGTTTGTTTTAGCTAATTGAAAATGTGTCACCGTTATTGTCAGGGATATAAATGACAAAAGTTTAATATGGCATTAAATCACTTTGTTTTTCTTTCTATTTTCAGAACTCGAAGGGAAAAACTCCAGGTCTGTTATTTGCTCCGACGTCCTATCAGAAAACTCCTGAGATGGTTGCAAAGACCTTATCTAAACCTTCCGCTGACAAACTGCAAAAGGAATCAGAAGCACAGGGTGAAAAGAAGACTTTACTGGCAGCATTAAAAACCTACCTTTCACAAAAGCCTGTATCACATGGTCCTGATAATCCAGATCCAAATGGGAGAGCAAAAGTTTCTCTAATGTACTCTAATAAATACCATACCCCACAACTGAATCAATATGATAAGGTGCTTCCTAAAGATGATGAAAAGAATACTTATCAAATCCAGTCTTACCGTCAGAGAGCGCAAGCTAGAGTGTTAACAAGGCCAAGTCTTGGAGCTATGATTTATAAATCCAGTTTTCGCCAAGAAGACCCAAATGACCCGCTGAGTGCTGTGGATGGTAATAAATGCTTATTTTCAGACATTTGTTTCATTTATAGTGCAAGAGGCAACTTTTAATAGAACTAGACTGTACTGATGTTTTCTCGTGTTTGTTTTTACCATGTTGCTTTAGGGGACTATGTATAAAACTGGGGTAGTGCACAAAGAAAAATGATGATGCTGATAACTATCAATCAATCTGCATATTTGTGGGTCCCTTACACAGACACTGTGTAAGGGACCCACAGGCTCCATTTACATATAGCGTTTGCGTTACCCGCATGGGACGAAAACGCTAACATTTCTATTTCGCACGGATTCCGCTTGTTTGCGGCTATTACATAGCCGCGAACATGCAGAATCCACCATATTATCGTGCTTGCACTACTTTGGGGGCCGCATGGTTTCCTACTGCGCAGTCCTCGCAATAGTCTGAACAGTGCACATTAAAGTGCATTGTTTTTTCTGTTTAGAGCGGCTCCGCATGTATTCATACAGCCGAATACGTTGTATGAATACATGCGCTTCAGTGTGAATGGAGCCTTACATTGCTTATGACAGCTGTCCGACTATGGTCCTTACTTCATCTCTATGTTGAACAGAGGTTATTTTAGCCATGTTAAAGAGGATTGCTAAGCCTCACTTATGGAAAGGAGCACCAAAACTGTTTAAAAAATAGTTTTCTACAAAATAGTACTCAATAAATTATATATATGTGTTAACACTCTTTTACCTTGTCTGTCTTTTGCAAAGAAACCTTTATCCAGAATGTGGTCAAGGAGCTGGGCAAACATAAACTGAACATCGATAATCTTAGCCCAAAAGAGCTGGATGAACTGGCAGATGTGATTGCTGATACTCTGCAGATTGTGGATGGTGAACAAGTTGGTGCCAGGAAACTGGCAAATGAAAGAGGAGCACAGGAGCTAAAAAGAGTGGAATCGTATGAAACCTGGGAACATGATGAGCTCAACAGAGGAGTTAATGACACTTTTCAAGGTAAAAAAAACAGCAATATTGTAGCATACATAGCACTACACTAAGGATCATATGAAGTATGGGAATTCAGAGGGATTCCATGTTCCAAAACATTTTTTATATTTTGAGGATACTTTTCTTGATGTGATGAAATACTTAAACCAGAACCCCAGGCAAGTAGAAAACATCCTAAATTGTAATGTAATTGCTATATAATAGTATATACCACAAATTAGATTATGGAGAGACCATTGCACAGTGTCATCTATTGTAAGTTTAAGGGACTGAAAAGAAGATTATAATTCAGATTTCATGAGGGGCAGAACACAAGAAGGATCTAAACAGCTGGGCAATGCCCATTCATAGATCAATGAGTGGGCAGGTAAGAGGTTGGCACAGGAATATGTAAAACTGTGATACATTTTAAGTCTTTCTAAACCCCAGAAAAATAGTGTAATATATTGAAGCTTACCAGTCCTCCAGTCCTTAGATGTGGTGGCTGCATTAATCTTACTTTTTAAGGCTTTTTTCTTTATTTTGACCTGGTGATCCTGCCAGTAACACAATTTCTGTCCTAAGGTGACAACACTCGCTCAAGATACTCTGTATATGGAGGTGCCTTACTACTTGACTACCCATTGCCCCTTTCTCTCCTCCTTCTTTGCTGGGAATAATGTAACATATAACAGTCAGCATAGGCAGAGAGTGCAGAAATGTATCAGCTTATAAAAATTCTGGCAAGATATACAGATTTTTCTTTGCATGTTTCAAACAGATCAAAACCCACCAAAATAAAGCAAATAAGAGAAGTCCATTAGGGTTTAATATACAGTATATACGGTATATACGGTATAACATTCCACACTTTCCTGTCAAGATGCACTGTACTAGATCTTTGAGTGCTTCTTGGACTTTTCAGCATGTGTCACATGCCTTTTGGTACTATACTATGCTGTCTCTCTTTTACACATATTGTCACTGTGTTGCCTTGAGGACGGGACTCTGTGTGGCTCCCTAAATGTTGGTTGCATGACCTATGTGACGCTATGGAATTAAAACTGCACTGATGATGATTAAGATTGCACAGTGTAATCCATTCCTATCACTGTCAAGTTGTCCCCCTTATTGCATTGGCCATAATGGAGTGCAGCTTAGGATCATATATTTCAAGATTTCTAAAGCTGCCAACGGGTCTTTTGTTCATACATTCTTTAGGTTCTACCATATGGACATTTCAACTTTGCCTGATGCCGGCTTTGAGCGTAATGTCCTTCAGGCAGCTCTTTGAGGTGCAGACAACACTCCCTTTTTTCTGTTGTTTTTTCCTCAGGATATTAGCAATTGTCTGCTAATAGTAATTGTTTGCTGTGTTGTGAAATATTCTGGTGGACTGCTTTTGGTCTTCCTGAAGGTTAAAGACTTTCAGTGTACCTCAATGTATGAAAAAAAATTTGATTTTTTTTTAACCCACCATAAAAATCCTTTTTTTGGTGTCCATTAAGGGACACAGGTCTGTGTTTATGAACATGCTCTTGGTACTATTTTGCTACAAAACTGAGGCATGCTGGTAGTAGGAGCTGTTATTCTGGGCTGTCCTACCGTTTTTTTTAAACTTTTTTTTTTCTTTGCCAATGTCCAATCTTCCTATAGGTGGCAGAATAACTTAAACGTTAAAAACTTCCTATGTTCCTCAATGGACTCCTATAAAATGATTTTACGGTTACTACAAAAACTATTTCAGACATAAAACTTTTGAGCTTGGCAGTACAATCAGTATTCAGTTTAGCAGAATGTAAGTTAATAGAACCCTCTGTACATAAAATTCTACATAAATAACTTTGTGTGTAGTTTATCACTTGACGCCTGTGACCTGCAGTCAATAGTCTCCATTTGGGAATTGCTGGAGATTTTTCTTGAAAACTTGTTAAGCAGTAAATTTGCTGTAATAGTGTGTTCTGTTTTACATTATGCATGAAGAATAAATACTATTTACATAATCTCTTTCTAAAAGAATCAATTTAATGATTTCCTGAGCTGCGTTTATACCTGTACATCACCTTCTCACAGTCAATATACAGCTTCATAGGATACGCACAGAATTCGTCCTATTAATATTTTACAGCTAGATTGTGATTGTAAATATACTAGTATGTCACATTAGTCCAGAAGATAAACAGCTTCTTTGAATAAATAAAAATGCAAAGAGTAATTGGTGCTTTCTCTACAACAGAACTCATTCGACAATAGTAAAGTAATCACCATGTCCATTCATTGGTACCTGCTTGATCCTTAAAGTCCAATTTTGTAGTAGATTAAGTGATTGTTTACTGTATTATTGATTAAGTGCTGGGTAAAGACCATTACTATTAACCTTTTTTACTATTGCAGGTCAAGGAACAAGCACAAAACCATCACAGCCTGAAATAAAGGTATTTTTATTATGCATGTTTGTGATTTGGGAGTGCAAGGCCTTGAATATCCATTATTTGCATACTGTACATAAAGTGGACCTAAAATAGAAGAGTCATTTTGCCCTTTTGTCTTGAAGTCCTACTAAAAAATAGCACTGCACTTCTTGGTATGCAAGAATGTCTAGACACATCTGTGCCTACAGCCTCACAGCTCTATACCCGCAGTGTGAAATCCAAGGCACTGCTTGCCTTAGATGCTAGTCTCAGGACGGTTGAAGTGAGAATTGGTGATGGCACTAGTGTGCTGCTCACTGTTCTTGCTGAAGGCTCTGACATGAAGAAGCAAAACCCTCTGTTTCTACCAAGATGGCAACCTCCACACAGAGACACAGTACAGAACAAGGTATTGTAAGTCAGTAATAGGAAAATATCAGCCACAGGTAGACCACGGGCAATACTGGTGGATAGTCCTTTGCTCTCTACCTGCCTCTTTGGGCACAGTTTGCAGAAGTCAGTTCCTCTTTAAAGCCCAGCTGTAGTTAAAAAATGTTGTTATGGTCTGGATAGAGTAGGGAAGAGATTAAACCTCTTATATTGCTTTATTTGAACCATATATTGCTGTCTGTTTATTTATTATGTGTATTTATATAGCGCCCATAATGTGCGCTTTACATACTGCACATTCACATCAGTCCCTGTCCTCAAGGAGCTTACAATCTAAGGCAGATTAGTTTCAGCTGAATTGACTTCACCACGCAATTACCAATTTCATCACGTTTTTTTGTCAGGGCCAGTGTTAATAGGTCTTGGGCTTGTGTTAATGACATCACTTTGACATCAGATTTAGGTGCTTCCGAGATCATTCAGAATTAATTGACAGTTCCTACTGACCTGCCTTTGATCATAAAAACTATTTGAAGTGAACAAAAGCCCATCAACACAGGTTTTAAAGTTGCCAAGGTGAAGTTTGCTTACAAAAGGGAATTATCTCCTTTTTTTCTTTTTAGATGATGTTTTCAGAGGGTAAAAAAGGGTATAGTGTAGTTTGTTTGTGTTCTTTGTAATTGTGTTTATTTTCCTATTTGCTTTTGCATTTCATCTTTATTTGCATACTGTCATACTTTAAGAATCAATAAATAAATAAATAAACAAAACCTTAAATATAGAAAATAAGAAACAAAAAGTTGCAGACTTGATGGACAACTTGCTCTTTTTCTCTTGTCATTCTTCAAAGTTTTACTTGTTGTACCTTATGGGTTTTTTTTAATTTCTGTAAACCACATGAATAATTTCAAAGAAGCCTGTTGCACCCTAAAAAACACCAACATTCACCCTAATTTTACCTTTCCTATTCTATGCATTTTCCCAACATTTTGCCCCAAATTTTCACTGAAATTTCATGGAAATTAAAACTCCCAATTGTGCTCATTTCTAGTCAGGACAGAAGTGATGGAAAAGAACGTGGCTGAGTTAGGCTTCAATTAGGAGTGTGCTTTGAAATCCTGGATAAACATAATATCAAATGATATACCTTTTGAAATGTTTCTGATTAGGAAGGTATATACTGTAGCTACAAACATGTGGATGCCTTAAAACTTACATATTTGTGTGAGAAATGTGGTTCTTGTTTTGCTTCATTGATATTTAGAAATGTCAATGTGATTTGCTTCCACTTAATTTGGAATTCCATACAAAGGTTTGTTTTGTTATTCAGTTTGTACATGTTGATAAGAATTCCCCTCACTTCCTTTACCAGTGACATGACAGCAAGTGAGAGTAAAATTTCCCAATAGGAATATGTACAGCACTAAAACCTGACAGAGCATCTAATGCTTCTCCACATAAAGACAAGAAAAAAAAAATTTTGTCTGTATTTTCACCTTTTATTTTTACAAAAAGTATAACTCTTTTTTCAAAATTAATTGAGTCTATTTTTTTCTTTTGTAACAGGATAGAGAGACAGACCTAAAGAATGAGAACCTGCAAGACTTTACTGGAAATTCTTTGCCACACGAATTCCTAAAAGAACCTTTTGGCAAAGGACTAAACAACTTTGGAGATTTCCATTACAACTCAGATGACGATGACGATGACGATGATGATGAAAAGAAAGCTGGCACTGAGAATGTAAAAAGTGAGACATACACTAAAGAGTTGACAGCTCAGAAGAAATCCGCTGAGTCTGACTCAGATTCCAAAGAGGAGATTGAGTATCAGCACTTGGTGCAGGAGAGTTTTTCACAAGGTGACAGAACATTTCAAGGACAGCCAAAGAAAATGAGGCAAGAAATACAGCTCCAAGTGACATCTTCTAGCAATGACAAATACGGATACATTGTGACACAGAAGACGTGAGTGATCTACTACTTTTTAAAATAATGCTATACATGTTTAATGCATTGTATATGAAGTTGTGGGGTCAAACCCAATCTTAATCCTAGAGCAATCCTTGCTCAGCAAACTACTGGAACATGAATGCAAAATTCCCGATTTCCTGAAATTCGTTATTGGACGAATTTCGTTGCAGCAAAACGACATTAGGAAAAAAAAATTACAACATTTTCCCTCTCCAAGAATTCTATGGTTAAAGTACAGAGGTGAAAGTGTAGTGGTTAGAGGACAGGATTGCCATTGTCAAGGTTGCAGGTTCTAATCCATGGCAGGGAGAGTAATGGATAAAGATTTTTTTTTCTTTGCTTTTGAATTGGCATTCTCCTATTGACCTAAATGACTGAATGTCATTTTTTTTTCCTAATGTGATTTTGCTGCAACGAAATTCGTTATTGGACGAATTCCGTTGCAGCAAAATGATTTTTTTTTTACAGTCTGCAAAAAATGAAAAAAAAAAAAGCGTGAGGTTTCCCCCATATTTAATTTCGGACCCGAAAAACGAAACTAAACTAATTTTTTTTGTTTCAAAACTAAACAAATTTTTTTGTTTCAAAACGAAACTAAACTAAACAAATTTTTTGCTGGTGCACATGTCTACTGGAGAATAGAGGAACTGCAGCTTGGGGTACTTCTTCTTGACAGCAAGGGGTACTTGTTTCTGGTCAATTTTATTTTGAAACCACAAAGTTGGGATAGGGCGACCACCAGCTGCATCACCAACCTGGCCTGGAGGAGGTGAGAGGCCTGCTTTGATACCCTTTTTGCTACATTCGCTGCCTAAAATTATGTACCTATGTTGTTTGGTACTGCTGCCCCTCTTGTTCCACTGAGATTGCGTTCTGTACCATAGAGAAACTCATACATGGAGGCACATAGGTTAAATAGTTATTGGGGGCTGGCACCAAACTCTTCATTTGGGACAAATGTTGCTTGTGTATTAGGAGCAAAAGTGCAGTTATTACTGTATTACACTATGCAGCTTTGGGGGCCTGGTATTTAGAGGCAGCATAGGGATTCATCCAAGTGTAACAACATTGGGGAATCAATTTTGATATAATGTATACCGTTCAGGGATTTATTTCAGACTGTCAAGACAGCAATTAATAAGCTTTTGATTTATAGATGCCTTGAATGGGCAAAGTGACAGAGTCTCTTTAAAGACTGCTTGGCAATTGCAGTTAGACCTATTATTTATTATATTTGTTATTTCCTAATTATATTTATTGTATTATTAACACTATCTTGTATTACACACTGGTATGTTAATCCCTTTGTTACCAGCCCTTAGGCTTTATAATCAGCCAGTAATCCCTCAGTAATTAATTTGAAGTGCAAAAGGAATCCTGGCCATTAATCTGCACTGTTAAAAATGTCTAGTATATCCTTTTTTTGTACTGTTTTTCTTTATACTTTTATATTTTGTCATTGAAAATGTTCTGCAATGACAGCTGATTTGTGCAGGGAATCGCTGTAGCTGCTAGCTGTCATTGCAGTGCATTTTATTGACTAAATAGAGAAATAAATGCATCCTGACACATTAGTAAATAGATATTTTAGAAACTTTTGACACTGCATTTTCGTGACCAAGATTGCTCGGCTGTTTACACTTATGCTGAAGGAATTTAAACTGGACTCGCCTCACTTGCTTCCAACTTGCCGTTCATGTTCTAAACTTGATGTTCCTACATAGCAAAGTCAGATTAATTACATAATAGTAGATTGTGTGTTTCTATGGATAGTTGACATGCAATTATAGCACATAGTTAAAATGCACTTGTATTGATGAATACAAATATAAAGGAGGAAGGTTTGAAAGGGAGACAATGTCCTCTTACTTTTTTATAATGAAGGTTTTAGGACCTATTCAAACCTTTGCGTCCATTAACGCATGAACATAATGCACGTGTACTTGTGCATTAAAGTGGTACTAAAGGCTTGGTGTTTTTTACCTTAATTAATTCTCTGCATTAAGGTAAAGAACACCCAGTACTTTTTTAAACCCCCGCCTCTCTACATATACCTGTAGACTTTTGTATCCTCCTCCACGTCCAGGAAGATTTCCGTTCCCCAAGCTCCCTGGTTGTGGGGGCGGGTACTGAGGGCAGAGGAGCCATAGGCTTCTTCTGCTGTCAGTCAAACTGTAATTGCAAGAGTGAGGTGTGGCTGGCCTCACGCTGTGTGTGTCTATAGACGCACACAGCTAGGTGTGGGCATGGCCGTGAGCATGCACACCTGGGTGCCTCCACAGCAGCCAGCTAGCTGATGGAGACACCCGTACGGGGAGTTGGGGACAATGGTATGGATACCACTAAAGAACGAGGGAATACAAATATTTAAATAATAAGGTTTAATATCACTTTAAGGCGCGTTGTGTTAGGCAGATCTCAGTGTGCCTGAATGTATGTATTTTTGACAATGCAGCACTCAATGCAGAACTCAACACATTCACATCTGTGGTTTGCGGTCTCACCTCAGGTGGATTAATGTCTACGATATATGTGCAGTGGGAAAGCATGCAGAATGAATGGAAATACACTACAACACTATCTTGCATTACCATGTGTTTCAGTAATGAGCATTAAAATTAAAGGTGTGAATCTAGCCATGGTGTACTTGACATTTTGGTATTAGAATAGATTTGTTAGTCCCCACCTTTTGTACATATTAGAAGCCTCTCCCAATCCTAGTTCATCCCCTTTCTTATGCTGATGAACTCCAATGTATATATATATATCATATATATATGTATCATATATATATATATATATATCGATCTATATCTATAGATCTATAGATCTAGATCTATATCTATAGATATAGATCTATATATATATGTATCTGTAAGGAAGTTAGGTTGTACAAAAATTTGGCACCACAGTGATTTTCTTGTTAACTGGCTGTCACACCTAACTCATTCAGGCCTGAAAGATTTGTCAAGTTAATAGGCAAAGAATATGGCAGCATAACAGCATACATGTCTATCAGGACATTTTCAAAATACACTATACCTTCATTAAGTGGAAGAAGTAGAAACTCTATCTTCACAGTATTAAAGTCATTACAAAAGACACATGTGTAAAGGAAAATTAAAGGAAGATGTGCTTTTTCCCCCTACTTTTTCGTAAAAGTGACTTTCCTGCAAGCCCATATAGAGCTGTGTTCAAAGTTTATTATTTGGACTGATCACACCCATGAGACGCAGGATTGAAATCCATTATTATAGTCTATGGTGTTGAAATGCCTGCTTTTCTCTGCCAAGCCTCCTCAGGTTAAATGAAACGAGCCACTCTTCCATTCAGTCAGAGGTAAGAATTTCTATCAGGGATGTATCTCAAGCTGTAATGTTTAAATTGACCTCACAACACTGGGAAGGGGTACAGCAATTTCGCAAGGTAATTTTAGCACAGTTTCTCAGCATCTTGCCTAAAATAATTGAACAACTCTTCATCTTCAGCCTGTAAAATAATCAGGGGACTAAGTCTGGCTTGCAGCGGGTTGATTTGCCACTTTGAGTTATTTTTGTGCTTTCTGAACCCTTAGAATAGATGACTCTCGATTCCACCATGGAGAGAGTTAAATTGATTCTTGCACTCTGCTCTCTAAATACTCCACATTTCCATAAGGAATACAGACATAACAGATGTGACAAAGAAAAGTAAAAATACCACTGGTCAACCTTAAATTCATTCCTGTTTTTTTAAAGCATGGGCCACTTAAGTAGATCAGTAATGTAGAATCAGATGTAGTAATCATTTCAAAGCTCAACTCACAATAATTTTTAGTTTTTGGTGAAGTCGTTAGGATTATGACCACCCAAAACACATTTCTATTAGAGTAGAGCAGAGTGGGGGAGGCTTAGAATCTCTCTCATGTTTTAATTACCTGCCTGTGTCCTTACTTCCCATCATTTCCTATTCTAGTGACAGTGGGGAAGGATTAGAACATCTCCTGGGTTTGTACGGCTATCCAAGTCTCTGTTGAGAGATTTCGCTTCACTTTCTGACAGGCAGTGAAGAAAAATCTGCAACAGATTATACAAGGGGGTATTAAAAAGTAATGCCTGTTGAAATATAGAATGTTTAATTATGCATGGATAGAAGTAATGAACATACATACAGTTGGCCTATACAGTACATTCCTCTATTCAGAGTTATCCTTCCACATAGTCCCGATCGTGTTCAATGCATTTGCACCACTGTTTTACCCAGGCTTTAAATCCAGTTTGGAAAAATTCTACAGAGCACTCTTTGCTTCTCATTCAATGCCTTGTCAACAGTTTCAGTTTGTCCCTTCTTAAACCTCTTTACCCAGTTTTTAACATTGCTCATGTCAATTAATGCATCCCCATGCACATTCTTCAGGAGTGTAAGGCTCTCAACAGCAGAACAATCCTCTTTCATCAGAAACTTAATTACCACTGATTTTTCAACGTCTTATCCATTATTCATTTCCCACTATTTAAAAAACATAAGCACACTGTGACTGAGTTAGACCATGTGTATGACATATATCAGGCATTTTGCTACAATTGCACATGAACAGCACATATGAAACAACAGGCAGTAATTACGATACCCCTTCATGGTTGTGTATGTATATATATACATATATATCTTATAAGAATTAAAAAACTTTGCGCCAGAATAATATTGTTTTATGTGTGTG